TTAGATTCGAAGAGAATATGATCGATGTAATATAATAATAACAATTAACAAAATTCTTCCTGTTAGTTTTCAGCTAAATTTCGGCTTTGAATATTTTATTTTTTTTTTTTTATCATTATCTCTCTCCCTATTTTTATTTTATTCTATTATAACCTCTTATATCACTTTATCTATCTATCTATTCACCGAGATAATCACGAATGAAAATCGCTTAAGGCAATAAATAATAATTGATTCCCCATTAATAATATCGAGAAATAAAATCGAAGCAGCTTTTGCATGTGCTTCCAAATTAGAATTATAGTTGAAAAAAAGGGGATACATTTGAATACTTATATATAGAATATAAACATATCTTAAACGAAAATTCATTTATTCTGTTTAACGTAACCCCAAAAAGTGGATCCTTAATTATATTTCCATAAAATTTCCATATAAATTTTCCTACCCCACTTACTTACTTACATACTTATTTATTTTACCAACCTTCATGCATATTCCTATCAAAAAATGATAGAAAAGTAAATCGGTTTTGTGATAAAATGGTGGTGCAATTAATTTTGTTTAATTTGATAAAACAAACAAACCTAAACAACACAACACGTGTCTTTGTTTTCGATTTTGCGTTAGGAACATTTCAGAATTATGCGTAATGACACGCGTGTGTATGTAACCTTTTTTTTTTCTCTTTTTTCTTAATTAAAATTCCTACCCCAGAAAATAAAAAGAACAAAACCAAAACCAAAAACAAAATTAAGATAAATCGTAATCCTAAACACACGTTAAATTATGTTTCCTTTTGTTTCTGTTCTCTTTGTTCGAGTAAACAAAAAAAAGAAATAGACAAAGATAATGTGTGACGGGAAAAAAAATCAAAAGAAAAAACCAATTTAACCCCTTGGCCTACACGATATCTGCCAATTGTGTGTGCCATAATAAACAAGAGAGAATCGGTCGCGCACCGTGCCCATTCTTCAACTGTTCAGCCCTATACCCGGAACTGGCGCAAAATATACACTCACCACGAGTCAGACTCGTGGTTATAGGCCAAGGGGTTAACCCCTTGGCTTACACGATATCTGCCAATTGTTTGTGTCATAATAAACAAGAGAATCGGTCGCGCACCGTGCCCATTCTTCAACTGTTCAGCCCTATACCCGAACTGGCGCAAAATATACACTCACCACGAGTCAGACTCGTGGTTATAGCCCAAGGGGTTAACCCCTTGGCTTACACGATATCTGCCAATTGTTTGTGCCATAATAAACAAGAGAATCGGTCGCACGCCGTGCCATTCATTTGTTCAGCCGCGTACTTGAACTGGCGCAAAATGTGTAACTTTCATGACATATATTTTTCAGAGCAATGAAAGAGGAGTTGTGAAATAATAAACAATGTTTAGGTACAAATAATAAAAAAAAAAAACCCCACAACCATCAATATTAGATTTCCTTCTTTTTAGTATGATGGGTATGACAGTTTCTGAATTCTTTATACAAAGCTATATTTGAAACGTGTGAACGTAACGAAGCTTTACAGGGAACTAAAATAACAGACCATCCAGTTGCACCAAAAACGAATGAAAAAACAAATTACTGACGTAACAATGAAAGAAAAAGTATTGGATGTGGAATAACTCAAATCGTTTGTTCGAATAATACGCGGCATCTTATGCACCGATTCCTCACCACGAGCCTGACTCGTGGCTTTTGTTTATGGCACAAATTCTTTACCACGAGTCAGACTCGTGGCTTTTGTTTATGGCACAAATWCTTTACCACGAGTCAGACTCGTGGTTATAGGCCAAGGGGGTTAACGAGACGCAAGAATTATAAATAATAGCATTAATAGAAACTAATCTCTGTCTGTTTCCTCTCGCCTTCTTCTTCTCTTGCTCGATCTCGTCGAACTCGAACTTCTTCTTCTTCTTCTTCTTCTTCTTCTTTTGGATATGATATATCGATATCGTCGACCCGTTCTTCGACGTTTCGCACGCCATGCAACCTACAATTTTCAACGGACTATTTTTCATGGACGTACACGTATCCACAAACAAACACAAACACGTAAACGTAAATGCGAAAACTTATATGTACTTAATTATACACTATATTTCATATACACATTTAATACGTATAATACACGTACATGACATATAACATAATTGGACGTACACATACATACACACGTAACACACACATCATGCAAATTTATACGTAACTCAATTTATACACTATAATTCCTATACAAATTTATTACGTATATAACACGTACATGACATATAACATAATTTAACTTATATATATTATTTGTTTATATAAATTTGTATATGTTATGTATATTATTTGATATACATATATTATATAATTTGACTACGTATATTAAACATACATACTCAATTTTATCTATATTTTATATACAAATTTACTATATATGTTACACATACATAACATATAACACAACACATACACACATCATGCAAACTTATACATACTTAATTTTACCTATATTTCATATACAAATCTATTACACACGTATACATACAAACACAAATCATGCCACTCCTACACACATTCAATTATATTTATATTCCATATACAAATCTACTACACACGTAACACACATATAACATAATTTAACTTACACACCACACAAATACACATATCACCCAAAATTAAACATACGTATTACACAAATTAACATACAATTGGACTTAACACACGTACACATACATATAACATAATTTAACTTATACCACATAAATACACATATATCACCCAAAATTAAACATACGTACTACACAAATAACATACAATTGGACTTACACACACGTACACGTACAAAAACACATTTATGCAACTTACATATACTTAATAATACTTATATTTCACATATACAAATTGACTATACATAAAATATAACACCACGAAACATTACGTAACGCAACGTAACGGAAACGATACGAAAACGATCAAGATAATGACAACGTTGTCGGACATGATGATGCAGTGCGGGGGTGGAAGCTGCTGCGTCTTGGAACAGTGCTTTCAGTATCCTAGAAGAACAAGAGAACCTCGGGACTGCGGATGCCAATTTGCTCTTCTACATAGGGCGGAAATCTCTGCCTGACCATCGGTACTTGTACTAACAAAAAAAAACAAAAAAAAAAAAGAACAAACATACCAAAGAATATTAAATACCTCTTTCGTTATCTTTTTGTTCTTTTTTTTTATTTATATTTCATTTTTATCTTAAATTTTTATAATTATTATTATTATTATTATTATCATTAGGATTCCAATTTGCGAAAAAAGCACAAAACTATTATTTTGCTTCTTCTATTTCTTTCGATTTTATTCTATCGATTATTATTTCCCACCCCCCCACACCCCCCGCCCCCATTATCTATTTGTCTATGTGTTATAATTTATTCATAGTTTAATTTTTTTTTGTTCTTTTTTTCTTTGGGATATAAAAAAACACGTTTCCTTATTTCTTTCCCCCAACACCATCCCCACGTTTCTCGTATCCACTTTTATTCACCCCCATCCCCATTCCCACCCCCACCCCCACCTTCGTTCCTTTATATTTCTTTCTTTTTTTTTTCCTTGATTTCTTTTAACGTGTCAGCAAAAAACCTCGATTGCTTCTACTTTCTCACGAAAAGATGTGAAAGTGTCTTCTGCTGATTGTCTGCGCCCTTTTTTTTTTGTTTCTTCTTTTTTTTTTTTTTTCTGCCTCTTGCATTATTTTCTCTTTTCTATTTTATTTTTGCTATTTGCCTTGGCAAATTAATAATAATAATAATCGATGTGAACACATAACACGACGAGGTTGGAAAATATTTTATATAAGGAAGAGAAAAAAAAAAAATAAGAAAAAGAGTAAATTAATCATAGGATAGAGAGAGAAAAAAAAAAAAAAAAGGGAGAAATACAAAGAAAAAATTCGCGATTAATTAAAACGCATTATTCTTTTGACGTTGCTACGCGTGTTTCCTTTTTTCTTTCCTTTTTCACTTTTCTCTTTTTCTTTTTCCTTTAATTATCTTCTTTTTTTCTTACCGTTAAGTAAAAGGGACCACCACCGGATCGATATTTCATTTAAATCCTTTACAAAGCTCGTACAGTTTTTTTTTTTCATTAAATTTTCCATTTGACTATACATTTATCTCATTTTTATTTCTATATATTTCTTTTGTCCCATACTAATATCGTATTTTTTTTTTTATGCGACGTTTATTAATAATAATAATGAAAATAACAATACTTTCTCTTGATAATGATTTATTGTAAACGATAAACCCCGTTGACTCTTTTTCTTTTTCTTAATATTTATTTTCATTATAATTTAAAAGTAAAAAAATTAAAAGAATGTTATTTAAATAACAAAAGTCAAAGTTAAGAAATTCATTCTGTTTAACATTGAATTTTCATTATAATTTGAAAATAAAAAAATTAAAAGAATGTTATTTAAATAACAATAGTCAAAATTAAATTCATTATGTTTAACATTGAATTTTCATTATATAATTTGAAAGTAAAAAAATTAGAAGAATGTTATTTAAATAACAAAAAGTCAAAGTTAAGAAACCCATTTTGTTTAACTTTAAATTTCCATTACATAATTCTAAAGTAAAAAAATTAAAAGAATGTTATTTAAATAAAATAGTCAAAGTTAAGAAATTCATTTTGTTTAACATTGAATTTTCATTATATATTTTGGAAGTAAAAAAAAATTAAAAGAATGTTATTTAAATAACAATAGTCAAAGTTAAGAAATTCATTTTGTTTAACTTTGAATTTATTTCACACAACGAGTGGTTATAATCCAAATCAATTTATCACATTATCAAAATTATCAAACTCATTCGCGGAAGACATTTTGCATACTTTGATAATGCATTCTCGCGAAATAATATATCTATCGTTAAATTACGAGATGGAACGAAGCCAAGAAAAGTTTGGAAATAATTCGAATAAATTAACATGATAAATTCATGCGATAATAACTGCAATGACCGCGTGTTCGTTGTTATCGTTGACGTTCGCGAATATCATTATTTATGTATTATAATATATTATATACATATTATATTGCATATATAAGATATATAATAAACCCAAGAGAAGAGAAAATAAACACAAACCTATATATATACACACACACAAACACAAAATACAAGCTTTGTCCGTTTGAATTTCGCTTAGGCTGATAACACGAGCTTTTTTCATGACGTCACAAGCTAAAATTTATCAACGAGAAACTGGTGGACTGCACGCTAATTTTAAATCATCGCACAAGGAGAAAAACCCCATCTCAAGCCCACCCCCATATGCAGGAATACTCGGGGGGTATTTGGATATATATTTTGATGACGTCACGCTTCTAAGCACACACACACACTCGTGCATATATTTACTATATATTAGGGTGATCCTTATTTTATATTATTTAAGAATTTTTGTTGTTGTCACCCCCTAAATATTTTCTAAATAAATAAAACAATATTCCTATCAATTTTGAACTTTTAAATTTTAATATTAACAGGTAACCCCTTGAGTCGTCAAAGTTTTAAATAAAAAATACATGCAATTTTTGTTGGCATTTGATTTGATTGATGCAGTTGCAGGTTTTATTATTCGGAACAATCCAACAATCCTATTTTTATCCTTCTTTTTCATTTTTTTTATTTATCCTAGTTATTTATATTTATTAACTTTATATAAGGAAGTAACGAGCTTGCAAATTTGTTCATTGTCAAGGAATATTTCGAATAGTATAGCCTACAATTGTATTAAATTTCAAACAGATTCATCAATTGTTACCAGAATTATGGACGTTACCAAAAATTGCACGTATTTTCCATTAAAAACTTTGACGACTCTAGGGAGTGTGTGTTAATATTAAAATGAAGAGCTGAAAATTGACAGAAATTATGTTTTATATATTTAGAAGAGATATTTAAAGGGTGAAAAACAACAAAATTCCAAAACGATGTAAATAAGAACCACCGTAACACACACGCAGAGAGAAAAGAACCGCACCAAAACAAATTTTTGTGTTGCGTCGTGATTCCCCCTTCTCCTCGCCCCGTTTCCCCCTCATCGTTTAAATTTTTATCCTATCAACGAACGAAACGTCTACGTGTTCATGCGTATGCTTGTACGATTAGTTTTGGTTAGTGAATAAAAATAATGAAAAAAAGAAAAAAAACAGAAAAAACTAACTAAACAAAGACAAAAAAACACTATGACAAACATGTAAAACGTTTTGTTCGTTTCATTCGAATGAATCGTAACTTAGGTATGACATATAATGAACTAATCGTAATCAAATGAAATGTAAATTGCAGCATCAGCACTGGTCGAGCCATCATGTGGATTCATTGGACAGTGGCAGTGGTTTAGGTTGGCCAAGACCCACAAGGCCACGTGTCAATAGTGCCATTGATGTTGCTGGTTTCCTATCCCAGGTTAGTGTAATCCCATTTCAAATGATTGAATCTTAATTATCCTCTCTTAATGACAATAAATCCGGATTTACACGAAAGTAAGAGGATTCTAATCATTTTCTAGCTTTGATCTATCCCAAGGCTTCTTAAACTATGGGTCGCGACCCCAAACGGGGTCGCGTAGCAAATTTCTGGGGTCGCGAGAGATTTTAATGTCAAATATTTATATATACCATTTTATAAMATCACTAGAGTTGGCGGAATACAGTGGACTTGCAGCGTCTAGACACGTGCATTTGTTGAAGGTTTTGAGCTATCTCCACCGACAGCAGTAACATTTGTATGGGGTTGTCAAGAAACTCGCAATCATAAATGGGGTCGTGAATGACAAAAGTTTAAGAAGCCCTGATCTATCCCAATTCGATCGTTATGCTAATTTATTATAATATATGTTACCGTAAAAGCCCGAAAAATCTGTCATTGCTAGTAATTTGTAGCCATTGTCAACAATGCAAAGTGCCTTTCGACAAAATCGAAAATAAAACTTACAACTTTTTCTAAGCATTCATAATATATTGCATAATATTTATGAATCATTTATTAGGAAAGTGGCGTAAGTTTATTTATTTTCGAATCGAAATATTGATGGGTTTGCTGTTGGATTTAATTGAAAAATATAAATAACAATATAGAATAATGTTTTTGGGTTTTTAAAGGTGTTAAATTTTATCATCCGAATTAGCATAATTAACATTTAATTAAAGAATAATATGTTTTTTTTCATCACTTCATTAACCAGCAAATTTTCGTGTTACAAAATCTTAATAATTTAAAAAATAAATGGCTTTTATAATACTAATAATATAGTAATGTGTTTCTTCTATGTTTTTTTATTGTTGATCAATCATTTTATAAGATAATGAGTATTACGTGCCTATTCTAATTCGGGAACTATCGTATGTACATAAGTAAGTAGATTTATAGTCAGTTTATATAATGTATTGTATATTCGTAGTTTACACACGCTTGAAATTTAGGTGATTTAAATGGGATACGTATTTATCTTTAATTATTGCAAAAATTTTGTATAAAACGTATCTGTCGAAATGATTTCTCTTGTTTGCCTTATTTACAACAAACACACAACACGGTTTTAGGTTTCTACGTTATTTTTAAAAAAAGAAAAAAAAGGGATCGATAACAACGTACGTTCTTGTTTTATCATTGTATTATAATTTTTTTTGTTTACCCTTCCTTTATTTTTATCTTTATCATTATACGAAAAAATTACGATCGTATAATGATAAAGATAACGTTTAATGGATTCGATTCCTATCCGGAAAGTTAAGGGAACAAATTTTTCGATAAACTTCCATAAAAAAAAAAGTGTGTTTGCAAAGAGACAACCAACTGTGTTTTCTAATGGGACAGTTATTTAAATAAATGATAGATACGAAGGAATACCTCAAAGTCGAACGTCAAAGTTCAAGGTAGCACACCGGCTATTGAAGTAAAGTTCTTCCTCGCGTGTGATCGATACTTTGCCGGCTTACTTGTTAAAAAAAAAAAAAAAAAAGAGAAGAAAAAAAAATAGGGAAACAAGTACAAACAAAAAAAATAATAAAGCAAAGCTAGATGAACAAATCGGTTAACTTACTTTTTAATAAAGTGATTTATATATATATATAATTTTTTTTCTGTTCTCAACGTTTCAGATATTCAAATCCAATTGTTC